GATGTATAATTATTTATTTTAGAAAAAAAATAGAAATATTATATAAATAATAAATCATATATCACCATCACAATATAAATGCATAAATAAATTAATAAAAATAAACTAAATATAAGTACATTGTAAAAAAAATCACATTTACTTATATATATCATTTTTAAAAGAAGATGACACATGACATTTTTCCCCCAAGAAGTGAAAAAAACCAACTTTATTAAATTTAAGAATCAAGAATATTGATTTTAAAATCGACCAAATAGATTTAAGGATCAAGGATATTTATTTAGATATTTCATATTTAGAGATATGAAAGTTGTCATCCATCTTGAAGAACAAGTTAAAAGCGAGAAAGTTTTTTATTTAATTTACTGGACTAAAAATATTTATTAAAAATCATATCATTAGTAAAAATCAATAAATATTCAAATAAAATAAAAGATTTTTATAATGGGACCTAAAACACTTTCAACAAATGATAGAATGACAAGTATCATCTTTTGCCTTTAGGAAGAGATAAAACTCTACTTTATTATATAAGAGATGTATAATTATTTATTTTAGAAAAACTTTAGAAATATTTTATAAATAATAAATCATATATCACCATTACAATATAAATGCATATATAACATTAATAAAAATAAACTAAAAAATAATAATGAAATAGAAATTTTATTTTTAATTCATGTTTTAATTTTTATTAGCATTTATTGGTTCATTAAGTAAACTAAAATTTGTTAAATATAATAAATATAAAAACATCATTAAAAGAAGATGACATATGGCATTTTTTCCCCCAAGGAGTGAAAGAAGCCAACTTTATTATATAAGAAGATATGGATACTATGCTCTAGATAATTAGATAGCACTCCTGATTTTGTTTTTAGTGTTTACTTTGTTAAAAACAAACTTTAAAAGGATTTGAATACTTTAAACAAGGTCTAAAGAATATACGTATATTACATTGTGAAAACAATATATGTAAACTTAGAAAACTACAATATATTTTACGTTTGCTTGATAATCAACATTGCAGGTTATTTTAGAGTATTCTTTGTCCAATGTCCATAGAAAATAAAAAAGAATTTGTATCTTATATTATCGAGGGTACTTCTAGTCGATTAATATTTTGGGCTATTAAAGCCTTTATATGATCCAGTGATCCAATCTATCTTTAGTCTAAGCTCATTTGCGGTTTATGTGACAAGAAGATTCGACTGGAGACAGTAGTGGTGAACCCTTAAAAATAGAGCCTTCCTTCCTTTCTGCCCCCAACTCTTTTCGAATGGTGGTTTTAAAATTGAGTGATTGCCTATCTCCTACTCTTACTGCCCAAGATGCAAGCAGATAGCTAATGCATTTTACTTATCAAAGAAAGTTCTATGGTAGATCCGCGATTTCTAGATACCAAAGACATAGTAAAGAAATTTATCTGTGGTGAATATTATCTGCTGAATAAACATAGATTTACATGAAAACGCTACTATTTTCACTGAACACATGTTTATAGAGTTTTGTACGTTATACCTGGAGGACTGTTGAATAAGCAACAACCTTTTTATAACACTCCCGACCGTCTAGAACTAATGGACTACCTACGTTTTCTTTTTCGGCCCGTGGGTCCATTCCATTCTAACGGCTGGTTCGTTAATTTTCTAAGGCTCTAGAGTCATGTTTAACGACCCTGCAATCACCACTTGACCTTTCTTTGTGTTTTGGCTTCACGTACACGGTATCGTAAATCACTTCCCGATGGACACCCATCCTTAGACTACTCCAGCTCAAACACGTTTAACTCTGGAGTTCTCTCTGGATGTGCTCCCGAAAAGGTAAGTGCACTTTGATGACGTAGATAGTCAAATCAATTCTCTTAAGCATTTCCATATATCACAACTCGGGATGTTACAATTCACCTCTGTCAAAGATTGCCACGCCCTCGTTGCGCTCCACGACAGGTCTCAAGACGCCTCTCAGGTCAGAACTGAGATGGCTAACCAGCTCTGATACCACTTGTAACACCTCGACCGCCCACAGCTAATGGGCCATCCACGTACGCTTTCTCGGTCCGTGCGCCCATCCTGTTCCAATCGGTGGATGGGAGCATACTCTGAATCGGAATCTTCGTTAATTTTCCAAGGCTCTAGAGTCATGTTTATTGACCTTGCAATCACCACTTGACATTTCTCTGTACTTTGATATCACTTACACGGTATCGCAAATCACTTTCCGATAGGTCACCAATCCTTAGACTACTCCCGCTCAAACACGATTAATTCTCGAGTTCTCATTGGATGTGCTCTCGAAAAGGTAAGTACAGTTTAATGACATAAATAACTAAATCGTTTATGTTAAACCTTTCTATATATCACAATTCGGGATGTTACAGTTTTTTTCTAGATTTCTGAAAGAGATTTATCTGTGGTGAATACTATCTTACAAAACATTGAAACAGATAAAAATTTACACTTTAGTTTGACGTTCACATCATAAATTAATGGCTTAGGCACATTATGGCTGGCGACTGAATTTTAAATTTGTAGTAGTTCCTCGACTTAGAAACATGTTAAAAGACGAATACGTGTCAATCAGTAAGCAAAAAATAACAGGTGGATCCAACAGAGATAGGCCCTTGAGATTGCGACAAGAAACCAAAAGGACTATTGTCTCAGTGCGTCTCGTGAATCATTTTCGTCCCCAATTCCGATACCTATTTGCTCTTGTGGTTTTCTTATTTTTCTCCTATTCCCCCCCCCCCTCCTTGGTAAATACTAAATACTACAACATTTTACTTTTTAAAAACAATTCAAAAATTATCACATGCTTTGAATCTAGAGTGATCTCATTTTTTCTCGACAAAAAAAATCTCATTTTTTTCTTATAGAAGACTTAAACGTATGATTCCGTATTTACTTAAAAAATGCATATTATTTCTCTTTCGTAAAGAAAATTATTTTTTTTTGTTAAAATGAAAAAGAAGTCTTATAATTAATCTGTACTTTTTTAAATGGCTATCACTCAGAATCTTTGAAATTTTGTAATAGCAATTAAAACTATATTCGTGATATTTTAAGGAATTTGATGGCATGTTCTACCAAACGAAACATTATTTTCAATGTAGCTTATATAGAACTGCTTAGTTAGATATGAATACTTTACAATAGACGTGACTTATGTGGTTGTATAATATATTAATCATTATCTTATAAACTGGAGAAAAGCATAAGTAAGTCGGCCAAGTGTGACAGAGTTTCTATTGTGTCCTGTGTGCTATAGCGACAACGAAATTGGATTGTGGTCAATTTCAAAGGGGTCACGGGTTCTTGTTTCTTTAACACATACTTCCAACTAAATATTAATGTATGTATAACTTTGGTTTTCTATAACGAATTTCCTTTTTAAAAATGGACCATACATTTTGGGTTCATATACAGTACGGCCGCGTAAGCAAACTAACTAAAGAGCGCAGCGAAATGAAGAAAATTAATGTAGAGAACCAATCAATCAAAGAGTAATGGGTTAACTTTCTATATTTCTTGTTTAAATATAACCGTGTTGGAAGCATAGTCATCTAAACGAGTGCATGAACAGCTAAACGATCGGTTTATAAGATTCCTTGCTTTACTAACTAGATTTACAGCCGTAGGTGCTACTAGTCAGTATAGTCTCCAATGAAACTTAGATCATTATATATTATAGCCATCAACCAAAACGTATCATATATTGCTTTTGAGTTTGAATCTCATAAACTTTGATACTACTATGTTAATGAAGAACTTCTCACAATCATATATATGTACCATTGATAATATGTAAAGCACTTACGGTTGGTGTATGAAAATTATGAATAATCACATGTACACGAATCTACGTTTGGTGAACCAAACACTATATTTTATCATTTATATTCTCGCACTTGATGGGAAATATATATACATGGACCGATGGACGTACGGTAGTGACACAAACATATATAAAATATATTCGAAATGGGAGAAAAAGGTAAGTATATGCATGTGTAACGCATATACATTTTGCAACCCATTGCAATAGCTCTATAGATTGTCGGCCATTGACATATAACATCCGCGTAGTAGTGGCGGAGTTACAGCGCATGCATACATTAGCGATTGTATATACTTCTTTTTGTATCATTAGCCATTTGATATCAATAATGTGACTTATTGATTCCTTCAGAATATATTAACAAAATATATAACGTGTAATTTAGGTTAAGTGGTAACTGCTGGTTTGTGTTTGAAACCAAACAATTGTGTGTTAAAGTCATTTTAATATATTTATTTTCCTGGCATTATTCTTAGGTTTACCTTCTAGGGTGAACCTCTAGGTTCACTAACTAATAAGATGGTGTTATTTCCTATTTGATATCTTTTAAAAAATGATACAAATCTTGTTAAATTATATTATGTTTTTAAAATAAAAATAGAAAAAAAATAAATAAAATAATAATATTTACAAAAAGGAAAAAAATTCTTAAAAAAGTATTTTAACATTATATTATGTTTTTAAAATAAAATAAAATGGTAATAATTGCAAAAAAAACAATTAAAAAAAAAATATTTTAAACATATCTTTAAAATGAAAACAAAATATTGTTACATTATATTATGTTTTTAATAAAAGAAAAAAATAAATAAAAACAGTATAATTGGTTAGTATTAATCGGAACTTTTATGGAAGAACGAATTCTTAATTTCTAAAATAAATCTCACACAACATATACAAAAAAATCATAAAACTATAAAATGAATTATTATTTTATATTTTATAAATATTAAAACATCAAATAAAACTTATGCAACGCACGGGCCTCTATCTAGTTTTGAGATAAAGTAAAATATTGTTTCAAGAAATAAAATAAAGTAAACTATTGTTTCAAAAAAAAAAAGATAAAAGTAAACTATTTTCAGCTCATACAAATTTGGGACCTTCGAAGTTCTAAAACGATATCTACGTCGTAAAAGGACATGTAAATATAATGAAAAGAATCGAAAGGGACTTTCGTAAAATAAAATAATAGACTACTAATTATTTCCACAAACTAGTTTTTTTTTTATAATTTCCACAAACGAAAAAGCGTTATCAAGTACATAATGCTCCTATTTCATTTTAGCCAACTAAAAAACAGAATTATCTTATTACATATCTCTATCATGCACGCGTGAGAAACAAAAACAGAAAACCAATAATTTATTTTGAAAGTGAAAAAGAAGAAGAATATTTGATTCGTAATATAATCAATGAATCGCATTATCAACACATCGATTAACTAGGGCCAACGCATTACTAGTCAACTTCTTGACGTCATCGACCCGAGCACACACCTCATCTTTCCTCGGCTCATCTTGAACGTCTTTAAACCCGTCTGTACAAGTCTCCTCATCGGTTAAAGCCGCACTAAGCCAAGTCTGCACGTTACTCATCTGGAACCTAAAAGACTGCAGCGAGCCAGTGGTGACCAAATCTCTCATCTGTTTCATAGAGCCTCTCATTTCATCGACCGCATCTTTGAGGTTCTCGAAGCAGTCATGAAAAACGGCGGCTGCGGTTGGGTGGTGGCCACCGTCTTCGTGGCTTTCTGGGAGAGTAGAGACGTCGGAGAGGTATTTGCCCAACTCGAGAGCCTTGGAGAGAGTGACGGAGATTGCGGCTCGAGCCAAGAGTGCTGGGTCGTTGTGGACGTAGGTTGAGAAGTTTGAGAGAGAGGAGACGCAGACGTCAGGGTATAACGTTGTGTTGCAGCTCTGCTGGATGAAATCCGAGTCGTCTGATGGTGATGGTGATGGAGAGGGTTGAGAATGGACGGTGAAGATTAATGGGAGAAGGGTTGCTAAGAAGAAGATAATTGATTGATGAAGAGAAGGTTTGTTCATGATTTCTTCTGGTCTATGTGTGTTTGTTTTCTGTGACTGGAAGTGTGTCTCTTTTGGGTTATGGATTGTTTGGAATTTGTGACCTCGAGTTGATTTATATATAGAGAAGGTAACACAAATAGCTATGCCTTTTGTGCCGTAAAGCGAAATAATGATTTGACGTTAATAGCCTATGAAACTTTTTGCTGGGTTTTGGATTGACATGTGTGGCTGTGTCCAAATGCATAATGGGCCGGGATGGAATGGTGCTTTTGTTAAACGAGACCGAAAGTTAAGAGTAGCATCACATACATACAAACGAAAAAACGACAATTTTGGATACCAAGTGTTTTAGCTAACGGGATACTTTTGCTGGTACTGATGCAAATAAATATTTGAAATATTTTTAATTATTATATTGTTTATTTGATTAATCACAATAGATTTTAGATAATTATATATTATTTTAGTGTTTTATGATTTTTTATATATAGCCGTTTAAACTTAAACTTGTAGACAAATTTTGATATCAAATAAACCTTGAGATTTTTCATATCTATTTGATTTGTATTTTCAAATCTACTAAAATATACAAACCAATAACACACTCTAAACAAATTTTTACAGTACATGAGAGAATATTTTCAAATTAAGAGTTTTCCTTAAAGCACTAAGAAGAATATTTTCAAACTCTGTTTTTGTATATCTCCTTCTTACTATTTGAGAACTTTTGACATTAAACCTTCTGTTCATGTGTTATAAACCATTATACCATTACTTATGTGGCAGCACCACAATTCATCTCATTGCCTTTTTAAAATAACTCTTTCTTAACTAGACATATTATATTTCATGCCATTGAGATCACACCTATACTTTTAATCATTCATCATTCATCATTCATATGTACCTCTATGTATTAATTACTATTTACTAATTACTAATGGGAACATTACTATTACGTTTTTGACAATGGTATTAATCATTCATCTATATAATTACTCATTATATGTAATGTAACTTTATAATATATTTTGAATATTGAATAAAATACCATCTGTTGTTATCGTATTTGACAATGGTATTAATCAAATATGTAACTTTATAATATAAGTAACGAATGTTGAATAAAATATCTATTTATAAATAGAAAATATAATATTGATATTATTTATTCAAAGATTGAATTAATAAATACCTCTGAATAAATTTTCTCTTGTGAATTTTATAGATTAAAAATCTAATATGTCTAAAAACAAATAAAAACGAAATTCAGAAAATTTTACTAAATAGTAATACAGCTGAAAAATGTACAATGAATCAGATATATCAGATATATCAACGTTTGTAGCCAAACAACTTTAAAATACATATAGTATGATTTGCCGTTTCATAAAGTTATTTTTGAAATCTTTAAAATCAGGAAAGTTATAAGTATGATACTAAAAGGAATTAAACCGCACGAGCACCTTTTAGACACACAATTAATATTATGAGTTATATCATATGGAAGTTAATCACCTATTTTAAGTAAGTTAATCACATATTTTTCAAATTAGTCGAACAGTTTAATGCACTCTTTCCATATGAAAATCAATTATCTATATATAATATTCTGACGTAAATGAGATACGCCTAAATTAGTGCTTGCTTGATAGGCATGGAGTAAGTTTTCGACATTTCAAAAAAAAAAATTTACTTAGTATCATATTTGCTGAAATATTTTCTTCTACATTGATCATAGTAATGTTGTCGTTAAGTGTGTTGCATATGGAGAATTTTCTCATGTTTTCCAAACAATATGGAATTCAATTGACGAGAATGTTGTACTATGTGTGTTACAATTCTGGCAAATTAATTGGGGAGTAGGTAATGTATTGTTATAATTTAAAATAAATGAGATGTTGAATTTTATATCACATTAGACAATTGCTAGATAATATTTTTTTGTTTAATCATGATAAGGAAAATTGAAGAATATCTCAAACATTGATGGGTTTTCAAAAATCATTTTTGAACCTGATGATGTTCCAGAATTCGATGCGTTCACGAAGAAGTATATCATTTCAATGAGTTTAATATATTCAAAGAGTGTGTGTTGTTTGGTAAACTTATTAATTGTTATTTTTGTATGTAGGATTGCAAACCAGGAGTTTTGAAGACAATTTCTCTCATTATATCATGTTTAATTTTCTATTTCTTATTTTGTTTTAATACAATTTTTTTCTCATTTTATCATGTTTTATTTTTCTACGTTTTATTTTTCTACATTTTATTTTTCTATTACTTATTTTTATTTAATGTTATCCTTTTTTGAGTAGTATATTTCTTTAGTTTTTTTGTATTATCAGATATCTATAAGACAAACAGTGAAAACAATACTTTCGCAGCTATGCTTCGTTCGCAGCTATACTAATTTATCATTATATGACTATATGTTTTTTATTACTGATTCACATCCACTATCTATTCTTCAATTAAACAAATTAATACACTAAATTATTGTTGGATCAAAGTCAATGTCATCTCACCCCGCGCATGGCGCAGGTCAACACCTAGTTCTTAGAATCAACAGATCTAGTTTTATCTATCATAACTCCAGCCCGGTAATATTTTAGATAATTCGATTGATATTTTATTTTTAAAGTAAAGGTTCCAACTTATAAGGCAGTGATGATGGTAGTACAAGTTTTCATATGCTTGCACAAATAATATTTTAGATAATTCGATTGATATTTTATTTTTAAAGTAAAGGTTCCAACTTATAATGCAGTGATGATGGTAGTACAAGTTTTCATATGCTTGCACAAATCAGTTTTAAAAGAAGTTTTCATTTGCTGCTTGATATCGCTTTGAGATATCTAAGAACCATTGCTCCTGCATCCGATGGGTATATAGCCGAATAAGCATGTGTTTGATATATTTCATGTTTACTATGTACTTGTGTCATTGATATATACTTTTAGTTTTAGATCTCATG